GGGGTTTTTTTTGGGTACACCATTTGTCTTCTCAATAGCGCATATCATTTCCACAAGCAAAATGATTTTTCTTAACTTTGATGTAGCCATGACCAACAACTAAATTTAAGCAATATAATTGCCAAGAGATTTAAGGTGGAGATTGACAGATATCAAGATTATTCAGATTGTGGAAAAACAACAAAAGCGTTTCAACTTTAGAAACCAGAAGCGTGTTCATGGAGCAGCCCATCATTCACTGTAAGATGCTGACTGAGAAACTTTGCCTCTCACTGGGGTTTAAATGTGAAATAAATGTAGATAATCCACAGCACAGCTGGTCCCAAGCCTAAAAAAAACAGAAAGAAAAGAAAAACTATAACACTGACTACTTCTTAATTACATCCTAGCCCTTTGGGATCAACCAGGGGAAGAAAAAAAAAAAAAATCAATAAGAGATACCAGTATTCACCTTCTCAGTGTCATTCATCAAAACTGTCAGTGCTGTGCATTAAATCATAACTGCTATCTCTCATAATATCAACACGCAAGAGTTGATTTCCTTGTTTGTCCAAAAAAAAAAAAAAAAAAAAAAGACCAATTCTGCCTCTGACCCAATCATCAGACCATGAAGTGTAGTGAAAAGTGGCTAAAAATAAAATAACCACTATCAACCAAATTAGGTGGAAAGTTGTAATTTTGGCCTATTCCCTCTGTGAGGATGTAAATGGATGCATGGATGGAGACATGAAGGAGCAACAGCAGACAACGTGAATGCTGATGTCAGCCGCTGATGTCGCCGTTCTTCGTGCAAACTGTGCTGTCACCCCGCACATGTAATGCACTCTCGCTTTAGATTTGCAGAATAGAAGGCAAACTGGCCAAGGCTGAACTGAATCGTAATCCTTTTGCGTTTTTTTTTCTTTTTTTTTTAAAAAGAAGAGTGCATCCAGATGGCCCATGGTTCAGCTCAGCCACAGGAGGTCTCCAATACACACCGAAACACAATGTTCTTCTGCGAGACCCAGAACGATTTGCAGCATGTTGTCGGTGTGATCAGACAGATGCCAGAAAGAGAGAGAAAAATACTGAAGACACAGCACACTGTGGGTTGCCGTTTTCTTTTAATTCATTTGATCCGTCAAAGGATTTTTACAAAGTCTGCTATGTAAATGCTATTTATTCCCCCCCCAAAAAAAACAATACCATTCATGAATACAGCTGCACGTTATTGACATATCCGGACTCCAGGGAGATTATTATGTGCAGAGTAGCACCCAGAAAAGTCAATGAACAGGCAATATTTCATATCGTAATAGTTCTCTCTGTTATAAATAGAAATAAATCCATGCAATATTCATCTCTAGCCGTCGTATTTCTTTTCAGATTTTGGCACCATCCTTGAGATGAGGTCAGCGAGTGTCCTGAGGTCAGCTCAGGTTTTCAGATAGGAAATAAAGACGATAATTATCCTGAAGACAATTTGAGTCTGCGTTTGTTACGGTCCAGTATCAGAGACTGATTCCTAATGCAATGGCTATTCAAGTACCAAAAAGGAAGTCCCCACTCCCCCTCCCCTTCGATGATAGAAACCTTGATGCAAAAAGCCTGAACCTCCAAATAAAAGAAGAAAAGAAAAAAGGGACCCTATTATGTAAACGACCCTCAGCGCTGTTTTTAAAAAATACTCACGATAGTATCAATAATTGCATGATTTATAAACGTTCTTTTTCTCTACGTATCATACAGGCTTAGGAGCACTGCACGTCATGTAGCTGTCAGTGCTGTGCAACAGATATTCGTTAATACTACTGATAACAATATTAATAACGATCAGAACAAGTCATCATAAAAATCAGCAAATGCTATTCAACTACCATGTAAAGGAAATGTTTCGACAGTGTGCTTTTTTTCTTCCAAAAGAGAAAAAACCCAGAACAGAAAAAAAGAAAAGGCTCCGGGAAGCACAGTGTGAAGATCACACCGCTCCCACAGAAGTTGGCACCGTAACATACTGTACACTCGAAGAGACTGACGGTCCCTCGGAAACAGAGGAGGCTGTCAAAAAGGAGCAGAGAAACATGCAGGCCTCCAGTTTGGTATTAATGTCAAAGGCCTCGCCATTCACTCTAGGACAGGCAAAAAGGAAGAAGAAGAAAAGAAGGAAAAGAATCAGGCTCAGGAAACATGCCCAGAAATTAAGAGAGAGTGCTGAAGGGAACAAGGTGTCCTGCAAGAAAAAAAAGAAAGAAATAATGATATTTTATATATATATCTATTCCTGCAGAGGGCTGCAGGATTAACTGATGCTTTTTCAGATTCGAAAGAAAATGAAGAGCAAATCAAACCGAGAAGCAAAGTTAGAATGCATTAGAGTGGGCAGAAGGTGGCAGATTCATAAATAATTCTTGACTTAAGGGTTTGTTTGCACAGTGATAACCCCGAGGAACTCATCTGGCTGTTGAAACATTAGCTCTGCACCTTTCAAAAAGGGGTCCACTCATTTCTCTGCAGCAGGACGCGACGTGCGGCCGCCTCATTCTTACTGAGAGTGCAGCGGAAATTATTCACTGTGAGATACGGTTTCCGTTTCTGGGCTTTAATCTGAATCAGATCTAAAGCGAGTGGGTTAATTGTCGATGCTGAAACTGAAACCACTGCTGAGGGAAGTCGTCGAATTTTTAGTGGTGCTTTAAGTGTTGCTACTAATAGTTACATCTGTGCATTGAGAGCCATTAAAAAAAAAGAAAAAAAAAAACACTAACACAAGTCATGATTGAGTTTATACAAAGACCTACGCATTTTTATTCAGAAAAAAAAAGGGGAAATAAATGTTTTTTTTAAAAAAGTCAAACACTGGGCAAAGTTGTTTCCTGAGGCAAGTTCAAATCTAGCACAGAAAAAGAAAAGAAAAAACAAAACATCTCTCATCTCTTTGAGCACTAAGCAAGGCTGTTTCTCTAATAACAAAGCAATAACAAACCTATTTAACAAGACATTATACGCCCACTGGGTTGCCAGTTTGGTAGCTGACTCCCCCAAAACCTTCAGCCACCAGGGGCAGAGCTGACCAACAACAGAGTGTCCCCGCCTTGGCAAAACTCAGCTCAATGCCTATGGCCAGTAGCTTCAGGTGTGGTGAAGACAGAGAAGCCAGGCAACGCCATGCCTGCACCTGTACAGCTCTACCAGCAGCTCATCAGAGGATGGTGCAGAAGAACTTCTTCTCCCGGAAGGGGTTCTCAGAGGCGGGCACGGGCACGATGAGGGGGTCCTCGCGTATGTGCGCCTCGCAGTATGCCATCAGGTCTGCGGCGGCTTTGGATACCTGAAATATTTAGAAGAAATTTTTTGATCAGACATTTCAGATTTATTCTTTAAACTGTGTGATGATGTTTCAAGGCCGTTTTTTGGGGGCGCTACCAGAATCCTCAAACACGCAGTCCTGCATTTCAGATTTTCAATCAATGTTCATGTTGTCTAAGTTGCTCCCAGTGTTCTCTTACTAAAGTTCAGTAGTCATGGCTTCAAAGTTCAAACTCATCCTGGGGCCATAGCTGCATCTCCTATCTGATCTCTGCACTTTAGCTGTCTAAAAAGCAGCATAAAGGACCCCCAGAAAATAGCGAATAACATCGTATTACACAATTAAAACCAGATTAGTTTTTCCCCAGAATCAATGAAATGCTGGCTCTCTTTGTATCTTTGAGATAAGACAAAGATGGGTTCTGAGAAGCTTCCCTAGTTGTTGCTTAAAAGCTAAAGAGGTTCAAACGGTCACTGGAGCTCATGAAATTCATGCAGTCACATGAAATCCAGTGTGAAGGAGCTCAGTGTTCAGAAGTTGCAGCGTAACCCTTCTCTGGGCATGAAGTGAAAAAACAGTCCTGTTATGAAATATCTTGGAAATCAACGACTTCTGAGGTGAAGAGGACCGAAACATTTCACCTTGCTGTCAGCGCAGAGTGTGGAGACACCATCAGTGCTCAAGTTCAGCTCAAGTACAAGTTTGAGTAACTCGCAGACGTCGGACCGTACGCACACATCACAAAGTATTTATGGTAAAGTTTTCAAACTAGTGTATAGGAATTTCTTTCACTTGTGTATTAATCACGTTATTGTAATGCCTTGGTGCCACTGGATTTTAACATGTCTGACACTCATACTGTAAGACAAATGGTAGGGGGTATAGTAAGGATGTTGGGGGAAACAGGAACTCCAGAGGACCAGTCTTTTGTCTCTTCGAGGACTCTGGGAAGTAGCAAGGGAGTGTGAACCTTAAGGTGTGAAACAGCTGTGTACTGCCTTTTGTTCCTGAAGAAGGTATTTAACTGAGAGCCATGCTAGGCTCAGGGAGACTCTGCTGATCGTCTGTCCCGCACACATGCAGGGGCTCCATCAAGCTGGGTTGTATGTTCTTTGTGTGCTTTGATTAAAGAATGTTAGCTACCGCTCGTCTGCAGGCTTTATTTAAGTGGAAATCTTCCACAACACCAGTGACCCATCAATATTTTAGTAACCGAATTAATTCGTATTGTACAATCAAATTCAGACTATGGGCACCAACTGATGAACTGTGTAGACTTTAAACATTTACCAATATTCCTCTCATCTATCAGTCCTGGGCATCATCGCTTGGAGATGATTTTTTAGGGACTATAATAGTAATGCTGCAGAATTTTTATGTTTTTATTAATTTTTAATGGGAAACACTGGTTTGCTCTTCAGACCCCACTGTATTAGTGTCTTCTGTCAGACTCCTTTTTCTCATCCCCCACACAGAAACATGTTCCCTTACATAGGAAAATAAAGTTGTGGCAGTATGCAGATGCACGTTTCATGTTGCCAACAGTAATACTTCAAACAAACTTTTTTGCGCAGGGTAAAAACATTTTAGTGCAAATATTAGTGGACGAGGCCCAAACGTCTTTTCTTGAGAGCAAGGTGAATAAGCTCCACACATCTCTGCAGCTCACCATTTATTCATTCTCAGAGCAGATGTTTATGAAGTTAAACTCACACCAGATGAGACCTGGGAAAATTGCTGTAAAGCTCTTTCAACTTGCATATTGCCGATGTTCCCGATTTGTCAGCGCCTGTAGTGACTGCACTGATGCCCGTTACCCGAGCCTCAGGCACCAGGGCGAGAAAGCTCGTCGAGGTAACTCACGGGTCTTAAGGTGGGACTTCAACAAGCATAGCACGAAGCATGTGACATCTTCCAAATGAAAAAGAAAAGGAAAAAAAAAGTCGAACAGTGACCATAAATTTTATAGTACAGTTAGACTGTATGTGAATGCAGGTTCTCAACTGGGAATTGAGTGGGAGGTTACGGGAGGGGAGGCGGCAAATGGAGAGCAGAGGAGCAGCTGCATCAGAGGGCTGGCGAGGACTCAGGGATCTATGTGGAGGACAGAGCCATCTGATCTCCTGCCTGCCACTTCACCTCACCCACTGCTGCTCTCACAAGAGAATAGCACAGCTTTGGTCCTCAGCATGGATTGTTACATTACCGTTTCGACCATCTTGCAGCCTGAAATGGAGCCGTTTCAACTCATAAAATCCCACAAAAAGAAGAAATGGCAGAAAACCCAGATGTGTTATTCAGTTTCTTAATTTCAACATCCCTACCAAGCACTTAGCCACAAGGACACCCATATCTATTAAAAAAAAAAAAAAATCTATTAAACATGTTCTCTTCCCTCTCTCTCCACAAACAGCCTTTACTGCCTGCTTTGCTTTCACATCAGGCAACCACAACAATTTGACAATACGCTCACAGGTCACACAGTCTGGCAAACACTGAGGTACATCATGCTGTGCCAGTAAATCAGAAAACAAGACTAAAAGTCTGTAGCCATCTCAACAACTCAGTTTTGAGCCAAACGCTAATGTCAGCGAGCCGACTTTAAGAAGCTTTATCATGTTTACAGTATCAACCATATTTACCATATTAGCATTATGTTGCTTGCTAAATGCCACAAAAACAAACAGTCCAGGCGATATTATCCATTAAATGAAATATTGGCCACATTAAAAAATGTGACATTATTAAAAGGTCAGGGATCACCAGTGTCCCCACAAACCATCCTGAAAGGAGCAGCGAAGCCTTTGATTTTGTTCCACATGGTTGGACTGCTGAGAGAAATGGCAGACTCTCTAATCGTAATTCATTCTCACTGGAAAGTTAGCTTTTGCCCAAACTTTTAAAACCAAGAACAGTTTAGAGATACTCACGGCCACTTTATTAGGTACATCTGCTCATTAATGCAAAAATAATTTCTAATCAGCCAAATGCATGATGGTAGCTCGGTGTAGTTTGACACATCATCATGCTCAAACTGAGCAGAGTGAGAGGTGATTTAGAGGATTTTCAAGGTTTCATGGTTGAGCATTTCAGAAACTGGTGATTTACTGAGATGGTCACCATTTGGGGTTTACAGAGAATGGTCTACAGGACAAAATACTGAGTGAGCAGCAGTTCTCTGAGTGAAAATGCCTTGTTGATGTCAGAGGGGAATAACCAAACTTGCTTTGAGATTATAGGAAAGCAACAGGAAGTCAAATCACCACTTGTTGCAACCAAGCTGTGCAGAACAGCATCTCTGAATGCACAACCTGTCACAACTTGGAGCAGATGGGCTACAGCAGCAGAAGACCACACAGAGGACAACAGAAGACTGGATGTTGTTTGGTCTCATGAGTCGATTTTTGCTGAAACACTCACATGGAAGGGTCAGCATATGGTTTAAACACGAGAGCATGGACAAATCCTACCTTGTATCATTGCTTCAGGGGTGCTGGCAGTGTAATCGTGCAGGGAATATTTTCTTGGCACACTTAGTACCAACTGTGTATCATTTAAAGACCCCATCATATCGTATTTTTACTGAATGTCCATCCTTTTATGACCACGGTGCACCGATCTTTTGATGACCGCTTACAGTACGGTATTCCTGCACGTGAAAGAGCTCAAATCTGTCTCAGACTGATTTCTTAAACATGACGGTGACTTCACTGTACTCAAATGGCCCCCAGTGTCACCAAACCAGTTTTTGCACGCAACTGAACAGGAGATTGTTAGCAACTGTGTACTGCATTCATGTCAGCATCGACCAAAACATGAGGAATGTTTAAAGCACCTTGTTGATGCCACTAAAAAGGCAAAACTGTGCTCTAACCCAGTACAAGCAAAGTGTAACTATAGAAGATGGACAGCGAGTGTATCTCTCATATTCACCGCTTTTGAACTACTTTTAAAAACGACTCCATGAAAGTACGACATCCTGTTCAAATGCACAGCGGAGTCATTTCCCCCCACTGGTGCTTTCACTTCCATCGAGCACCTCTTCCAACAAAATCCAACCCAAAGTTAAGTTTAGTTTAGTTATAAGCTGTGCAATGCATGAAACTTAAAAAAGGAAAGCCAAGCATACTGACACAGCAGTGTTACCACGCATGGCTACCTCTCTGCATCATTCTGTCAGCTTTCTGCTCCAGCCACGGTACTGTCGCCACCTTCTTCCAGCTAATGCGTTTCTATTATTTATGTCTGCACCTACATCATGGATCCCCTTTTGCAGTTCCTCTGTTGCTGATAAAAGCTGTTAAGTCACCTAATACTCAATACACCACACGGTGATATTTCAGAACAGAGGTGTCGGTGCTGAAACTAAAAAAAGACTCAACACCACACTTTAGTTGGCAGAATTGTAACGCTGCATTCATGAGAGGATAAATCGTCATCAGTGACTGTACGCTTACAGACCCACCAGTGATCTGAATATTTGGAATAATGTGACTAATGCGTTGATTAACAGAGAACTTGAATTAGCTGAACTAAAAATTAGTCGCTCAGAAGACACAATGTACCCCAAATGGCTACCTAAAAACTAAAAAAAGACCAAACTCAGGCACTAATTACAGAATCCAAGCTTGCATGAAGTGTGAACACTAACAAAGCAAACAGTTTAATTATTTTCATAATCAAAGTAAATGCAGTCATTATATTATTATGCAACTGCAGCCAAATGCTCCTGCTCTGAACAGGAGGCTCACAGGACAGAGAGTGGTACTGCTCAGTGTGTGTCATCAGGCCCAGACTGATTGTAATTACACCACAGCCCCATGATGGAAGGAGAGTCCTCCTAATTAGCACAGATCACATTCCTTTGGCTGATTGAGCAATTAATGAGAGTGTGGTGATTCCTCAATCAGCAGCACAGAGACCGCTCTTGTCACACGCTCCCTCGTCAGATCCCTTAATTAAATTTAAGGGATCGCCAGGCGTGGCCAAGTCTCCTTTTCCCTCTGCTTTTATATCCATCCACATCAGTCTCGTATGGCGGCTGCTTATTCCTTTTTTTTTGAGTTTTATGAAGTATTATTTGGATCGCCACATCTGATGCACTATGCTGTTATTAAATACTAGCAGCTGTCTGGCTTTCGTTGAGCAACCGCCGAGAAAATGATACAGATGTGAATCATGCTGCAACTGAAGCTGCTGTTTTGCAGAGCAACAAGATTCTCCTCCCCCCACACACTTAATTTGGAAATTTAAACAAAGCTTAAAATATTATATTGCCTGAAAATGTCTGAACACCATTACAGCTAAGCTAACACTTCATATAAAAGAGGAAACAAGCAGATGATCCTCAATACTTAACATCAGTGTAACAACACCTGCATGAAAACCAAAGTTAGGAGAATTTGGCTAAAGAATAAAGTTGTTATTAAAACAGTTTTTCTTTCTATAAAATCCTAAATTGACAGTAAAACTTTAATTCTCATCTTAATTCAATTCAATTCAATTTTATTTATATAGCGCCAAATCACAACAAATGTCGCCTCAAGGCGACAAGACAAGAGACTCCTTTTATATTGCAATAAACCATTTATAACTCCATGCTACTGAAATGCGTGTAGAGACGTGGGTCACAAGACAATAATTTATGAATCATAAACAATATTTTTTCAGCTGCCTTGCTGTCATTCTGGCACCATCCTGTGAATCCACTCGAGAACTGGCTGCAGGCAGGAACATAATGTGCAAAAAACAACAAGGAAACTGTCCATTTTTCTGATGCTGGGTTTTCTTTCTGCATAGACAGTCTGATAAGACTGGCATCCAAAACCTGAAAGTTCTTCTACGCGGTTGCATACGGGGGAGGAAACCTCGTGTTTTGATTCGGGAACACTGATGCTCTACGTCAGAATGGCGACCTACAGTCATGTGAGGGGACACACCTACCTACACTCATGATTCAGTAGCTTTAAAACCACCTTTGATAGTCCAACTTATTGCTGCCAATCTCTCACATCTTGTGAAGAAATTTTGGACCACTCGCTTTCTAAATTTGTAAAGTTTGAACAATGTTAGAATGGTTTTAGAGCATGGTTGTGAAAAACTGAAAACCTAAATCTCCCAAAAAACTTTGATTTCTTGGCATTATCCTATAGATGCTGGAGAATTTGGATTTTTATTTTCCCATCCACTGCAGTGAGTTTCCCCATCTCAGGTTGGCAGATCACGTGCCGTTTTGTCCTTCCTCGTTTACTTCTAGTCTGTTAGTTTTCCAATCATCATCTCTGCTTCACTCTAAGGTAAAGACGTCTCCTTACATAGAGAACTGAGGGTGTATTGCTCAATCCTGTTGGTTCAGAACGATTCTCATTAACTAACGACACACGGTGGTAAGAACAAAGTAGGCCGTGCTTTTTTCCCCTTTTAGGCACACTTCATGAATCAGGTAATTTTGTGTATGCCCCTGCGGTTTTTTTTTAAAAACATTTCCACTTACTTACTAGTCAGTGCGCGCCATTATTCTTACAAGTTTGCAAACTTAAGCTGTGCTGCATGATCTTCTGACAACTCTTCCAAAGAAGTCAGACTTGTTCAGTCATTTTCTAAATGTACTCATGAACTTTAACATGCTAACTGATGCCTGCAGAGATGAAGCTCTTGGCTGTCAGAGCACTGCACCGTCTGACCTTGGGGGTGAAACTGCTGGGACGTCTGCTCCCGGGACAGATTGCGTTAACACACCTGAATGCTCCAGACACGCAAACTGCCAAAACGGCTGCGTTCATAGAGGTGCTCACACCTGCTGATGATCAGTTAATCAAGTGCATTTGATTGTCAGCACCTGGCTGAGCGGCTCGGTGCCTGTGGAAGCAGTACGAGGATACTGCATGGAGTCCTGTTAAAAACACATTTTTCACAGACTCCACAATGATCTCACAAAAAGTAGCCAAAGTGCATCAGATTTATTAAAATAATAAAGTTATTGCTATTAACAGGATTCAAAACTAGAGGAAGAATTGCTCTTTAATAATGGGTTTGAACTCAATCTGCTGGTTTGTGTTGAAAAATTAAAAAAAAAAAAAATTCAACATTTTCAGCAATTTTCCAATGAAAATTTGGCATTTTAGAGTTTGTATCGTCTACAAAAATGCTGCAGTCCCATTGCACACAGGCTGTGTTAAAAACCAAGTAATGGTTTTGCTGTTCGGTACACTTAATATCTTTAAAACGCATGAGGTCTTATTTTGATGAGCTACCTGAAAGAAGCCCAAATTGATTCCTAATCTTCTTAAAACTGATTGCAGTTTCAGGCGGATCACTTTACTTTTTAAGACGATGAGGTTTGCTTGTAAGCAGCCTTTGTGCTGTGCTGAGTAGGAATGAAGGTGTTTGGCCGGCTTCCATGCTTAGCTATATTGCTGAGTGAACAGCCTCTGATTTGCAGGGCAATCATTCCCCAAACACTACTGAATGAGATGACATTAAGTTGCACAAGAAGTCATTCATAAAAGAAAATGTTCAGAATTGCCCCAACATGCCAGAAACATGAACAGAAAACAGGAAGTAAACATACCGAGAAAATGACGCCTGGAATGGATGGAAGCACAAAACTGATGTCTAATTGCAGCAAGAGCCTCGTGGTGATCGACCGCAGAGTGCACAGGGAGCAAAAGTCAATATTTAACCAGGTGTTGTTTAATGAGGAAACAATACTGCTTCACAATAATGTGTGTGGTGGAGAAGTAATCCTGCAGCCACACTGACCTAAATTGGTGGAAAGTTACTGTCAGAGCTGGTTAGCAGCCACCATAGCCCACCTTTCCT